AAGAAGAAAAAGAAGCCCATCGCTGCTAGAACCAAGTTCCAACACTGTTGAGTAAAGATCCCTCTTATCTCTGCTTGGACTTGAGAGCTGGCTCAGCCATTCTGTGATCTTGTGCTGGTTGATTTCCCAACCCAACCCAAGAAAACGTGTATTCACTTTCACTCAACATTTCCCTCTTTCCAGGACTCTGATGGAGAAGACTCAGAGGCAGTGACATACATAGAGGTGGATCATCATATTTTCCAGAAAAAAATTACTCCCTCTTCCCAGAGGCCCAAGAAACGCAGATACCAGTGTGTACATGGACCTTGCTAAGCCTAGATCAAGAATTATCTCCTGACCCAAGAGCACACACAGAAAGACTTCGAGGCTTTCCTTTCTCAAACCCAGCTCGCTAGCTCCAAGGTGACAGTAGCTGGAATCTGATGACACACATCTTTATCTTCAGGGCCAATCTTGCTCAACACAACAGGAATCTGAACATGGCTCTCACCTGCTGACAAATTTCTGTGGTCCCCATGTCTTACTGGAGAGAAAACAAACTTCTCTGCTTAGCTCACAATTCTCTATGTCACTCAGCCCTTGCCAATCTCTACCACCCAAGTAGCTGTGTCCTCTGGTCCTGCTTGAAGTTATCCACACTCAGTAACTCAGAGGTTATATATGCAAGGCGCTCACTCTTCACACTTGACTTAAACACCTGCTAGTAGTCTATTTTCCCTGAGTCCTTTTCCTGAGTCTTCTGTCACCAGGTACATTTCTCTATTTTTTAATTATTTCAGTATAGACCTCTCCTCTTCATAGGAACAGTTTCTTACTTCTTGGTTTAGATGAGCTGCCTCTTTTTTGCCTACAGTTTTTATGTGTTACCATTACTATGTACATATAACTCCACATGTTCTCCATTGGCTCTTCCTTCCAAGACCCTTCTGTGAAGAGGAGGGACAATGGCTGTGTGGGGTTCACTGTGTTAGGACCCAGAGGGGGTGTGCAGAAACCTCCCCTGCCCCTTTTTTCTCACATGGCCCAGATAGCGGCTTGGCACTGTAGTTTGTGAAGAGAGAGATTCTTCTCTAGCACTGTGCTTTTATTTTTCCACTGTTGTTTTCATTTATCTTTTAGGAATATACATAAAATCTACTTTTCTGCTCAGTCCATCCCCTTGCACCTGCAGGAGGTCTCTCCAGCTTTGCTCACTGTTTTGTGTTACCATGTTCATTTACCCATAGGAGATAGAATCAGTCTTAGGTAGTAGCCCCATATCCTCGGGGACACATTCCAAGCCCCCCGTTGGAACCACATATTAATACTATACACTATACACTACGCATATCTTATTTAAGAGTTTCTTTTTCCATTCATATAATTTTACACACATAAGATTTATTCTTACTGTAGATCTTAGAAAACTCAACGTATCATTTTTTTTCTTTCCTTATTGAGAGCTTTTCACTTAAAGAAAGCACTTGGAGAAAGATCACCCATATCGTCTGTCTGACAAGGGTACAAGTGAATTTTTCCAGAACTAGAGTATAAATGTTTTAACACAATAACTAAGTAAATGACACAAAGTCTATGTGAACCAGTTTGATGAAAATTTCAAATTGTATATGAAAACACTACACTGTACCCCATGTTTGCATTAATGTACACAGCTAACATTTAATAAAAATAAAAAAGAAAGAAAGAAAGCACTTGGAGACTTCTTTTTCTTTGACATGTCCAAATTTCCATCATTGCTACTTTTGCACTTTGGTACCATTATTAAGTAAAATAAAGGTTACTTGGACATAAGCACAGTGATACTGGGACAGTCAATATGATAACCCAGATGGCTACCAAGTGACTAAGGCATGGGAAGGGTATACAGTGTGTATAGACAGGACAAAGGGATGGCTTACATTCTGGGAGGGACAGAGGTGGACTGAGTGAGATTTCATCAGGCTACTCAGAATGGTACACAATTAAAAAGCATGGACTGTTTATTTTTGAACTTTTCCATTCAATATTTTTGTTTCTTACACCACCGGCATCTGATAGCCTTTCGCCCAAAGATAACACTAAATGTGTAAAGTGAGAACCCATCCTGTGCTTATCATCGAACCAAGATCTCTGGACAAAATTTTCCATGCTTTGGTGGAACTGTTATATATTTAAATTAGGGTGTCAGTTCCATGATTATGTATGTTTTTTTTTTTTTTTGAGACGGAGTCTCATTCTGTTGCCCAGGCTAGAGTGACATGACCTCAGCCTAGCTCATAGCAATCTCAAACCCCTAGCTTAAACAGTCCTGCCTCAGCCTCCCGAGTAGCTGGGATACAGATAACTGCCCCCCCCACACACACAGCTACTTTTTCTATTTTTAGTAGCGACAAGGTCTCGCTCTTGCTTAAGGTGGTCTTGAACTCCTGAGTTCAAGGGATCCTCCCGCCTCAGCTTCCGAGAGTGCTACAGTTATAGGTTTGAGCCACTGTGCCTGGCTAACTGTGTATTTATCAAAACTCCTAGAACCAAACATAAAACAAACACAGTTTACTGTATGGAAATAAAAAAGGAAATGGAAAATTTTCAACAACAATACTGTGTTTCCCCGAAAATAAGACACTGTCTTATATTTATTTTTTCTCAAGAAGACACACTAGGGCTTATTTTCAGGGGATGTCTTATTTTTATTAAGTATAATAGAACAACCTACATTTATTCAAATACAGTTAAGTCATCTTCTGGAACCTGACAGGGGGAGCCGACCTTGTTGGTGGGGCTGGCGCTAGTGATGCATGAACTCCTTTCCCCTAGCTGTTCTCACGTGCGCAATAGGATGCCTGCGACCGTGGTAACCACACGCGCACACGGGCACCTGTGCAAGTGTGAATGGCTCAGAGGAGCTGTGGCAGATAAAAGATATTCCAGTCATCCTTACTGCTCCACACTGAAATGTATGGTGTGGCTATGCATCACTAGGTCTTATTATTGGGGTAGGGCTTATATTTAACAAATGCATAGAAATCCTGCTAGGGCTTATTTTTTGGGTAGGTCTTATTTTCCGGGAAACATGGTAAGAACAAAAAGACTGGGGAATGACGTTTTTCTCAGAGAGTGTATCAGGCAGAATAGAAATTGGCAAAATATTTTATATTCAGAAATTGTTCAGATGCTGTGAAAAAAGAACAATGGACATGTTTTGAGTTAAAATATATTAAAATATTTAAGTTTTAATATTTAACTTCTCCCTTATAATAGACTGAAGGAATGTACTTATATAAGAAATGAAATATATTTTTGATTTTTAAAATAGCATTTTATTGAAACATTATAGCAAATCTTTGAAGGAGACAGTGTTATTCCATTCTGATGAAACTAACTTATCTGAGCACAGGGGAGTCAAAGTTAAAAACCCTATTTTTATGTTTTTAGAGACAGGGTCTCAGTAGCCTCACCCAGGCCAGAGTACATTGCCTATTTACAGACACAATCATAGCACCACTTACAGCCTTAAAGTCCTGGGCTCAAGTAATCCCCCCAGCCTCAGCCACCTGAGTAGCTGGGACTACAGGTAGACACCATGCCTGGGAAGGCCCCTATTTTTTTGATTCTTGGGATTTTCACTCTACATACTAGCCCATGGCCTGGGCATGGCTTTCACAATGCAGAATTTAAAAGTTGACCAAGAAATGAGTTTCAGGCTGAACATTTAATTGTCAGAGGAGCTGGTTAGACCACAGGTACAGTCAGCTGCATCATAGAGACCATGTCCTTTCCTTAGGCCCATGGTCAGAGGTGGAGGGAGAGCTGTGAAGCTTCTTGTGAAAAAAAAAAGTCAATGTGAAAGTCCCATGGCAATTGGCACTGGGCCTCCCCACCACATCCTGCGCACCTCCCTGGCCGGCTGGGCTCAGTCCAACCCAGCACTCAGCCCTAGCCCAGCAGAACCTCTGCTATGCGTCCCCGACTCACTACTCTGCTCTGCCTTGGTGAGCTCTTGATTGTAAGGGAGATGGACTCAGGGATGTGGGGGGGGGAGGGGGCAACATGTCTCATGAGTCCTGTCTTCCAGTGCTGTGTCTGAGCCAGAGGACTGGTACGCAGAAGGGTGAGTCTTTCCTCCAAAGCCCCAGAGTCACTCTGCTGGGGTCAGACTCAGGATCCACCCACCTGAGAACACCTGGGGAGAGGGGCAGGGGCTCCACAACTTGCTGGGAGGGCTTGAGGCCAGCAATTGGGGAAATTAGGGTGGGGTGGGAAGGGGGTTCACCTGGAATTCCAGCCTCTAATTCCCTTCCAGAGACTCTCTCCAGACCCATTATCTGGGCCAGACCCAGTTTTATGGTTCCAGAGGGAAAGCAAGTGGCCATCTGGTGCCAGGGAACACGTGCAGCTGATGAGTACCAACTGCATTTTGAAGGGAGCCTTTCTGCCTCTCAAAGACCGAAACCACCTGGACTGGGGAACAAAGTCAAGTTCCTCATCCCGGCCATGACCTCACTCACTGCAGGAAAATACCACTGCTTCTATCGGAGTGGGGAGCTGTGGTCAGAGTCCAGTGACCTCCTAAACCTGGTGGTAACAGGTAATGTCCCATCCTCTTTAGCTGCTGAGTAATCTCCTCAGCCCAAATCATGGGAAGGATAATCCTTTATTAATCCTGAGCCTTTCCATGCCCCACTCAGACACTGCCACACCCAGTGACAGGGCAGGAGACACTCAAGCTCAATCATTTCCTACAAGAGTCATCTTCAGAGAGTTGCCTCTATGTCTGAGGAACAGGTTTGTCTTAGCTCAAGCTCTCCAAGATACAGACTTTGAGATGGATATTTGTGTGCAGAGGTGTTACTGAGGAGTGTCCTCCACAACAACACCTGTGCTAGAGGAGGTGCGCAAAGCTGGGCAGACAGAGATATGGAACTGTGATTAGTTTCAACACAGACCTCAACCAGGCAAACAGACAACTCTGGAGCTGGGGTGCCCCTCAGAGAGCTCTTGAAATGAGAGTCTGGGCTCTGAGCCCTTGTGCCAGATGAGAATCACTCCTAAGGGGAAAGAGAACCTTGGGTCAGACAGCTCTTGTCACCTGAGGGAATTGGTTTCAAACCTGAGCAAGCGTTAGAATTACCTGGAGACAGCATAGCCAGCTCTTACACACACACACTCATGGCAGCATTATTCACAACAGCCAAGAGGCAGAAATAGCCCAGTGTGAATGAAGGAATAAACAAAGTACAGAATACACCTATCATGGAAAAGTGTGAAATTCTGACACGTGCTACAATATAGGTGAATCTTGAGGACATTATGCTGAGTGAAATAAGCCAGTCACAATACAGAAATTTCTTTGATTCTGCTGATATGCGGGTCTGGGAGTTGTCAAATTCATAGATACAGAAAGTAGAATGGTGGTTGCCAGGGACTAAAGAGAGGAGGAAACGAGGAGTTGTTTAAGAGGGAAAGAGTTTCATTTTTGCGGATGAAAAGGTTCTGAAGAGATAGGGGTGGTGGTGAGGCAACTGTGGTCCCAGATACTTGCGAGGCTGACACAGGAGGATGGCTTGAGCCCAATATTCTGAGACTTCAGTGAGCTGTGATCACACCACGGCACTCCAGCTTGGGCAACCTAGCAAGATCCTGTGTCTATAAAAATAATATCAAATAATAAAAAATAAAATTTTACAAAGAGAACTTCTAGAGATGGATAATGCTGATGGTTGTACAACAATATGAATGTACTTCATAGCACTAATTTTTTTACTTAAAAATGTCAAAACGGCAAACTTCATGTTGTATTTGAACATAATAAAAAGTATATGTGTATATATATATAT